TGGCTCGAGATTGATTCGGAGCCCGTAAAAAAGTTCAGCTCAATAACTTGAAAAACAATTCAAGTCAACTCACCTCGACTAATCTTGAAATACCGACCGCGAAGGATGAAAGATCGCAACTAAAAAGGTGTTACACGGAACGCCAAATATCCAGCACTTCGTGAGCTACTCTGTCAGCTACAACACCTGTTAGGGCACCATCGCCAGTGTCACGCACACCGTCCCATCCTTTACCAAGTTGGCGCAGCGTCTTGTTAAGAGGATATGGCTTTTAACAAAAATTGTAGGGAGATATCCTGTAGATATCCTGATGTATATTTGGATAATATATGGTTATGTAGGGTATTTTCTGTACATTTCATAAATACTTTGGAAATATATGACGAAGTGATATTTTTAGTAATTCTTCCAAAACACTTAGTATGAACTGAAACTCTTTTTCTACATATGCCTTCTACACTATTTCTGTTGGTTGTATTTCTGTTGGTTGTACATGAAATTGCGGGGTATAAAATATAATAACACACTTGCCTTTTTGCCTCTTAGCACCAATCTGGATAAAATTGCAAGATGAAGCATTGAATTTGTTCATGGAACTAGGACTTTATGTCATGAATGAGTTGAATCTACTCATATCATCAAGGACAGTACGTAATGGCATTCATTCGCTTATTTGATTCAATCCCAGCCAAAGGAATATTTTTGTAAAAATATACCCCTTTCGATTGTTGTGAAAATTTTATTCATAAACGTGAGGCATGGTTTTTTGGAGGATTAGTTTTGGAGATGTTTATGACTCTGCAAAGATACAGAATTTATTAATTATCCCATCTAACAAAAGTGACATGTCTTTAAATAACTGTGAAATACTCCTACATGATCACAATATTTCACTATATATGTTACAAAATTCTGTTTACAACATGGAGTATTGTATTTGTTTATGTTATCTTCGTTGAATAATAGTGACATTGGGTTGACATGAGAGTTCATATGTAAAAACGTTAAAATTCTTTTTATTTATCTGTAGAAATTGTTCGAGTCTCAAAGTGGCAAATTCATTCTCCAGCAGAAATATACTTGAAAATCATCAAAACATTATTTATTTAGGGTTGAAATATCTGAAAATCTGAAGGAACGCTGGAGGATGGGTAGGGGTGAAATTAAGAGACAAACTGTTGGTAATCAAGATTTATTAGTTCAGCACGTTGAGTAATTTCAGTTTGTGTTCGAAAAACTTACCTGCAAATTCTATGAAATGGTTTCCTATATCGTAAGCCTGGTAGTTGAAACCAGCGTATTCATAATCTATAAAAGTTACAGTATCTTTGCTTTCAGTATAAATTACGTTTCCTAAAAGTAGATCGTTATGTGCGAATACAATAGGAGTATTGAGTTTTTCTAGAATGCTCCTCAATTCCATTGCTTCTTGAATTATTTTAGACTTATGCGTCACAGAAGTTTGATACCTGGAATCAATTGGAAATCATGAATTTCAAATATCTTTCGTTGGAACCTTTAGTTTTCGCAAGTTTTACATATACACAATCAATTGTTAATCATTACGTATTATTCGTGCCCATTTGCCTGAGAAACATACATACGAGTAGAAGAGGAATATTTTTCAATATTATAGCTCATCGTGTAAAGAATGGAAAATACACAAAAAAGTAGAATTGTAGAATTTTTTGAGGTTTTTGCTGAACTACTAATATTTTACATCACATTATAATTTTTTTCTATTAGAAAGCTCAATCGTATTCACTGGTATGTAGGTTAGTCTGACAGTCCGAGTCTCTGAATATAATGATTTGAATGACATTGAACTGTAAGAAAGCCTCTTAGATATTGTAGTTCATCCCTACTGTAGTCCAACAACTGTTTGGTATCAAGCTTCGAAGGGTAAATAAACGCTTTGAAATGAGCCAACCCTGGAAGATTCAGCCAGAAGTCCATAAATCTTCTTGCCATCCAGGTGTTCAATCTTTGTTTGACAAAGCCTAAAGTGATGCCAATGACAGATTCTGGTTCGATGAAGCTTGCAGCACCCTCCTCTGCAAGGGAGTCAGCAGCCTCATTGCCTTCCAAGCCAGTATGGCCAGGAATCTAGACCAGAGACAATCTGTTAAGTCTTCCTATCGAGGAGAATCGATTTTGGCAATTTGCCACCAATTTAGAGGTTGCTCTGTAGGAGCCAAGAGCTTCCACTGGTATGTAATTATAATATTCAACTGGGACGGTAGCCGGTTGGATTGGCGTGAGTGGTCTGCTCCATTGTGTTACGAAGCAGTTTACTTCTGGCAGTCGCCGAATACGACACTTTCCGAAAAACTTTTTCGAATAAGTTGGGGTAAGTTGGTAAATCCTTCCCATTGAGGAATAATTTTTTTTTCTGAAAGTAGTGGAAAAAACTGGAAAATTTTTCGATTTTTTTTTACAATGTTCAAATTCACAACACTTTCGATTGGTGTTTTCACGATTATTGTGTACAACATTCTAGGAACAGTCTACATAACAAGAAAAAACAATTCTGGGGCTGGAACCTGAAGCCTCTCCAAAAAACAGTTAGGTCAAAAACCAAGTTTTTCACTGGACCCCAGACTCCAATACATAAATCAACACATCTGAAATGTCCGGATAGTGACAGAGAACATCTGTTAAGTAACACCTCATCACTAGGCGGGCCTAGCAGAGGTGTAGCTATAAAGAGAAAAAGATATATTCAAAAATCCAGAAGATATCTAAGGTCTTCAGTAAACCCGAGACTCACAAGAACATACATGGGATTTCAAGGAGATCCAAAATTGTTGGAGAAAGTACTATCTGACGCCTGACCCCAATTTTGTTCCACAATACGAAACAGAGGAGGCTTCAGGCACACAGGATGATCCCAAAAACCAGGAAATTCAAACGAACAAAGCAAATGAACCAGAAGATAGCAAAAAGATGGAAGTAACCGACCTGGAGAAAAGCGACAAAAGTGTTATGCAAAATTTGAAGAAACAAATGGAAAGAAGATATCTCGGTAAAATACACCGGAAGATCCATGCTTGTATACGCGCGTACGCGCAAGGATCATTACCTGATCGTTAACACGTACATCCTGCCAGGGGACAAAACACACGCGTTTGTCCTCCGGGGGTTAGACTACGCTCCACCGGTAGCCGTATCGGCCGTATATAGATTGAGAACGGATAGAATTCCCCTTTATTAGCTCGTAACCCACAAGAACGTCACACTCAATTTTCAGAAACTCAACGTTTCACGTGTCCTTTATACCAGGGTCATGGGAGTTACAAATTAACAGCAGGAGGCTGGTGTAATGTCATAGATGCCAGCTTTGGTGTGCTGAAGGACACCAGACGTATGAGTGCCGGAAGCCTAGAACGGAGCCGTGCATTCGTGCAACGAATGATTTCTTCAACTTCATGGGGGTGCTACTAGCCCACTGGAGAAGTGGAACGCGTTTGCGACGTTCGCAGGTGTTGTCAGCAATTGCAACTTCCAAATGCCTATGAAGGCACGCATGCTGAATGTAAACGGAGTTAATAAAAAATACTCCAGTGTTGTTAACTCCATTCATCCTCATAATGTTTCTATCCGAAACTAAGCTGCAACAGAAACAAACTACGAGGTTTCACCACTGCCGGATAGACCGCCCTGGTGGGGTGCCTATCTTGATAGGCACCGGAGCAGCATCGAACATGTTGGTATCAAGCTTGCTGATGGTACCTGCATGCTTGTGGTATATACAACAAGCCGTATGGACGCTCCACTCACATGATTTGGACAATCTGTTAAACACCAACACTACCCAGATTGTCTGAAGCATGCGGAGGTGGTTCATTCAGAAGTCTGGAAAACGAAAAAGTCTGCACTGCAGCTGGAAGTTAGCCCAAAAACCGTATGGAGAGTTCTACATTATTCCTATTATTCGGTACTCTATAATTATTAATGAAAAAGAATCTCTTACGAACTGTGGATTTTCAATTTCAAGAGCATTTGTGAGTATGTTTGTGAGGAATTTTGCAAGTTTACTTTTGAGTGCATCTCATACATGATAATATCGATCACATTGTTGGTTTATGTCTTTTTGGCAAGGAATAAAAACGAGGAGTTATCAAATTATAGATCATGAGAAATTTGGAGGTGGAAATATCTATTAGTTTTCCGTTTCTAAAGTTAGAAACAATTTTGTTTTCTGACTGCAATCCACTAAGGATTTATCAAAATTCTGCTTTACTTTCCCGAAGTTTTGCTTCTAATGAGAAGCTTTTTCAGGGCCTATAATTTATAGAATTGTGGATTTTTTCTTTGAATAACATTACAAAATTATATTATTTGCACTAAAGATGAGTAAAGTACTCCTTGATAAGTATAAATTGTACGGTTTTAATCATCAGCAACTTTACTTCCAGCCCCATGTTGCTTCTGCGTCCTATGATTGGTGACAGGCGTTGTGTGGCGTGTCTAGCCATTCCTATTCTATGCCGTATGTGAGACTGAAATGTTAGTTTCCTGTCTAGAATGACCCCCAGGTATGTCGCTTTGTTGGTCCACGGAATCTCATGTCCGTTGAAGGTGACGTTGCCTTCTGGTTGTACACGGCTGCGAGTGAACATGCGCTAGGCTCGTGAACATGCGCCGAGTGTCCGCGTAGAGCGCCAACTTGTTGAAGTTGTTCTTTGGCTTCGGCACGTCCACTGTGTATACGGAGAAGAGGTGTGACGAAAGGACTGCTCCTTACGGGACCCCTGCTTCCAGTAGTCGAATTGTTGATAGTTCGTCTCCTACTCTGCAATGGCATCGCCTGTCAGCTAGAAAAAACTGAATTAATATTACCATTGGTTTTGAATATCCAAAATCGCCCATCTTGGCCAGTAGTCCGTCATGCCAAACTCTGTCGAACGCCTTGGAGACGTGTAAGAAGATAGCTCCGGTGTTGTATCCTTTGCCGAGGTTGAAGCCTTCGGTCGCAAAGTCTACTACCCTCAGGGCTTGTAGCTCTGTGGAGTGTTCTGATCTAAAACCGAATTGCTCATCCGGAAAGATTCCTAGCTCTCTGGTTTGGTCTTTGAGTCTCTTCAAGATGACACGCTCCGCCACTTTGCTTATGGAAGGAAGTAAGCTAATTAGCCTATGATTGTCTGGGAACAGGTGGTTCTTCTTAGGCTTCGGGATGTGGATTACCGTTGCCTCTTTGAACGGGTATGGGAAGTGCTGCAATCTGAGTATAGCGTTTATGATGTTGGTTATGGCTGCTATACCCTTGCGCGGTAGGACTTTCAGTGCCCGATTTGTTATTCGGTCCGGGCCTGGTGGTTTCAGAGTGGATAGACGTCTTAGGATGTCTTTCACTTCCTCGGGAGATGTCGGGGCCAGGGGTTGCGCGTTGTCCGTTCGTTGTCTTAGCTTTCGTACCGTTCTTTCCACCTGTCTCTCTATTTCGTCTATTTCGTCCGCGAATGAGTCCGCCTTCTCCTGGTCAGAGTAGACGATTCCTTGCTCGCCATGTATAGGTGGGCATGGCTGTCGAGATCCATGCCTGAGTACTTTCTGCATTCTCCATGCAGACTGGTCTTCAGTGTTCAGTTCTTTCTTCTCTCACGAAGACACAATCTTTGGGATCGACAGAAGACTCAACCCACGAATATCAAACCTAAAAGAGGTTCCCCATTATCCAGGGTCGGGCAGACATGGAGCAAGTGCATGAGATGGTGATAAATTTTGTTTTTGCAATAAAAAACTGAGTACAATCCAAAGACTGAATTAGGAATTATATTCCACGTATTTCATTAGTTCGGACTTCCATTGTCTAATATAATATATATTGATTTGAAATCCCTGAAAAAAATAAATATCCAATTTTATTGCCTCAACGGTGTATAAGTTCTTTGGTTATATCTCACTCTTAAAATTGAAATGTGTCTATGAAAGTTTTTTTATTTGTGAGTATGACCATGCTATGCATCGTATTAATATTTTTCGAAAGAGGGAAAGTGCACGTTATGATATCGTGCACTTTCCCCAATTTCCTAATGGTACTAATATATCCAATATTTACGTTATTTACATATTTTTCAATAGTTTTTTGTTCAGAATATTAGACGCGATATCTAATCTGAAATTTTAGTGGTCCGGTTTTTTGGAAAAGACTAATTTAATTCGAAACTTCGTAGGACATTACCCAGGTGAAACTAGAAAGTTCAAATCATTTTGTTGGCCCGTCATGCACGTACAGCGTTTTAATGAAGGTTCATAGGTTTCCAGAAAGGAAAGCAATGTTACCCTAGCCCTACCATTAGCGGCCACTCATTTGCCCCATCTTTTCTTACTGGGCCTTCTGTCTTATCACATTTAAGTACTCTGTTTTCCCCACAATATTTTATAGAAGGTATTCTATAATGTTTGTTTTAGCCTCACATTCACAGAAATTTTCTTCAACTTGATATATTCAGCGTTGTAAAAT